CACCCACCCACACCCACACCTACACCCAACTAGTGAACATGTGCTAAGTTTTATTTTTTATAACTAATATTATTACGCGTAATTTTCCTTGATATTCAATAATAAAATTCGTTTATAAGAGAAAATTGAAAAAAAAAATTCTCGCCAAACTACAGTCATTCTTGTATTTGTTGTCATTGCTTGCAATTAATAGAAAATTCTGGTAAAAATCAACGCATAATAGCATAGAAATTCGACTATATCAGGTGGTATTGGAAAATGATGATAACCATAAATATTGTAGAACGATGAAGGTGAATAAAGATAGTAATAGAAAACTAGAATACCAATATTGACTAAGAACCATATTGAAAAAAGAAGAATTCGTCCACAATTTGTCCATGACTTGTCAGAAACGTCAAGGGCAATTTTACATCCTGTATTCATTATCATTAATAAACCTATTGTCGATGAGATGTACTTTTGTTTTGTCTTCTTCTCATCTTCACCCAGTATAATCATAAGAATAAGTGGAAAAATGATAACAAATCCAAAAATAGTTAAATGGACCCATCGAATATCGAAAGAAAAGTTCCAATGTGTAACTTTTTTAATAATATTTTCTAATTGAATATGAATTGAAGATAAGCAGCAACCTTCTTGTTCTTTGAAAGCATAGCAAGTGTCAAAATGATTTTCCTCTACAATTATATATAATAACATATATTAGTTCATTATTTTTTACAAAATTCTATCGAATATTTCCAAAAAAAAAAGTATATATACATTAGAATTATTCGTATAGTATAATCTAGACAATAAGAGAGAAAAAGTTATTTCTGATATTAAATATTAATATTTTATAGTTTATTGATTATTAGAATAGTTTCAAAGATTTCCATAAAAGATAGAAAAGAAGATCAATTTTAAATGTTCACTTTCTTTAAAGTTGATTTAAAAAAATAGAAATAAGTTTATCGTGAATTGAGAAGAATTGCAAGATATTATAGAAACAAGTATCATAGAGTAATTTTGCATATTTTCTACTCAACTTTTCAATAATGAGAAAACTTCTTATCAATCTTACCTGTACATATAAATGGTGAACTAAATGAATATAAGGTGAAAAAGAGATCAAAATATATCATCCAAGGTGGACTAATCCAAGTCATAACTATCAATTGTTTGCTGTTGTAATAAGCATATATACTTAAAATGATTAATAAACTACAATTTAATAATTTATTCATTTGTTCTTTCGTTGTATAATTTTCAATAAATGAAAGCCATCGTTTAATAAACAGCGACCAACACATAATCATGAACAATATTGTTTGATCATGGAAAGAAACGAGCATGCCAAGAGCAGCAAATATCACCATGAAAAAATACATTTCATATAGGCTAAATAATTTAATTGCGACGAGAAGAAATTTTATCCAGGCATGCGATAATGGACGAGACAATGCAAGAAGAGATATACAACATGTTGAATCATAGAGAATAATATTATAAATTTGATCTTTATCATCAATGGATGCATATGTATGACATAAAGTCATATAAAGTAGAATATCTGTCAATATCGTCAGGATGAAAACGGCGAGATCATCATCTTAATATCAGAAAAAAAAACATGTTATATAATATGCGTAAGAATATCGTGAACGCTCAGTATTAAATTTAGTCAAGAAGTTGAAAAAAAAAGCTGTTTATATTTTTTTTCTCTCGTTTTTAGTATAAATACAAAGAAAATTTTTCTCTCCTATTGGTTCATAAATAAGAATCATTGTTATACAAAATGAAATTTTAGTATTATCTTAATCGTAATAATACTGCGCACATATATAAATATAACACATTACCTTTGTCATTAACAAGTTCATTGTAAAATTGAGCTACTATAAGACGAATAATAATAAGAACAAAATAATAAATGCATAAGAACTTCATGAAAGAAATCAGCTATCTTATCGTTGTACTATGTCAAATGAATTTTGGTCATGCGTGTGTATGAGAAAATAACAGAGAGTTGTTTGTTCAATGTAAATAAACACATAAAGAGAGGACGAACAATCTCTTCAGCAAATACATTTATATATGCAATCACATTCGATATTGTTACATTTAAAGCAGAAGGTCATTGAACAGTCATGTGTTTCGCTTTGTTATATATGATGAAGAATTAATCAATATATCTCTTATAACATACAATCATTATGTGTATTGAGATTAGAGTCCGTCGGGTCCGAGATTTTTGGACCCGGACCCGACTATTCAAAATTTTTTCTACTCGGACCCGGACTCGGATCCGGATCCGCTTGTTTAGAAAATGTTGGACCCGAACCCAATCCGGACTAGGTCGCTTAAATTTTTTGGATCCAAATACAATGATAAATCAGTTTATATAATATAGTTAACAAGTGTTTTGTTATTTTTTTATCTATTTTCTAAATACATTCGATTTCTTTTTCTTCATAAAACGAACAAAACTTTAAAAAAATTCACAGTACATTGTATGGGTGTGGGTGTGGGTGAGTGTGGGTGGGTGTGGGTGGGTGTGGGTGTGAGTAAAGAGAGGAATGACACCTATACCCACACCCACACTCACACCCTTTGATGTCCTATTATATTGCAGCAACCTTTTCGCCAATTCAATTAGTTTTTGAATGAAATAAATAATTGTTAAATCATCAGGTACGTATATCATCGATTGACAGACGAAAGAGAAAATTAATATTGAGGAGTGTGTTCACACAATTTTTCAAAGTTCGTCTCTTAGTCGTACTCTGAAAATCTTTTTTATTCGTCATAAAATCATCATCATCATCCTCCAAGCATAATTTGCGTGTGGGTGTGTCTCTTCTCTTCATCCACACCCACACCCACACTCTACTTTCTTTTCAAGTACTTTATATCTAATTTTTTAATTATATATTTTTTCTTGTAGAAACATCAGTTGGCAATGGATATAATGGTAATCAAGTTTAAAATGGCGCAAATTGTAAGAATAAACGCCTGGTAGTACATTACATAATATGAACAATGCGTATCGAATTCAGTATTGGGATTTATCAAAACAAAAAAGTGAAACGAAAGAAGAATTACATGTGCTTATGTTGAATGATGGGGATGTATAAATTTTGAAATTTTGATATAAAACATTTTGAGATATGACCGTGGCTCTGAATTTTTTCTTCTCATGCACTCACACCCACTCTCAGTATCCTTCTTATCAAAGACTTTGATTTTGTACAGCGAAGCAGAATAATGTTCCTGCTTTCATTGTAATTACAACTATTATAGTGTTGATATATCAGCTATCATTTGTATTATTGTCAAGTTTGATTGAAGAAAGAAAATAGAAGGACACAAGGTGGAAGCTAATATATTTGCACATAAGTCACAAGAAAGATTTTGTTTGCTGCATTGTAAAGGAAAGCCAAGAAGTTTGAGCATGGATTCTACAAATTAGTTTGATTGAAGTTTAGAATGTATGCTATCAAAAGAGATAAGCAATAGTCTACTAAAAAGCAATTTTCAGGTATTTGACTTGTCAGATGACAAATAGATTTAATGCCCAACACAATTACTATCAGCATCAATCAACTAAAATATTTGAATAATTGCGTGAAAAGACAGACAATCATAACTCAATCAATGTATGTTATTTTATGTTGTCTCTTATCGATTTCTCTATCTTTTTTATGGTAAATTAAAATTTTGCATTGCATCCAAATGGCATACAATGATACATGTTTTACCGCAACAAAAGAAAGGTATTTACACATACACAAAACGAAAGAGAAATATAATTTGATTTCTTCGCAACATAGATCTAAATGTTTGACTTTTGCAAAAGAACGACCAGTCAAGCGCTGATAGAAACTCTTAAATGATATTTATTCATCGAGATTTGTACTCTAAAGGCAAACTATCTAATCATGATCAAAACAATAAGCATGCCTGACAATTTAACAGCGACCACTACATCCATAGTTCATCATGATCGGTAAGTGAAATATTAAACAAGCTTTCTAAGGTAAATAACCTCAATCATCTTTCTAGTCGATCATCGACACGAAAGCAGTGCATCGTATTGCTCTCAGTATTCTTCGGTGTTTTCGTTGGGTTATTGCTCATTGGAAGTATCGTGTTAGCCGTCGTGTATGGTATAGAGCAAAATAAAATAATGGATAATCAGACGACAATAGTGACAGGTATATATTTGTATCTCATTGAAAGAAAAAATTCCAATTAAGTTTTTTAAACATGAATAGTCATTTTAGTCGACAACAACAGTGATTTATGTTTAACCAGATATTGCGTTAAATCAGGTCAGAATATATTCATTGAGACGAGAAATATTGTTCTATATTTGTAGCCAGTTCTCTGCTCGAGAGTATCGATGAGACAGTCGATCCGTGCGAAAATTTCTATGAATTTGCCTGTGGCACGAGAATTAAGAACATAAAAATATCAAATGATGGTAAGTTCTCTCTGCTCCTCTATGTATGTCGAAAGTAAATACTGAATTCATTCTATAACAAAGCTGATTCTCAAGATACATTTACCACGGTGGAGACTCGATTGCAGGATGCAATTATCGGTAGAGAATAGGTCAACCTTTGTTTTCTATTGATAGTTTTATTGTCTATAGATCTTCTGACATTGTCGACACCAAACAACACCAATTCATCCAAAGCAATTATTAATGCTTATCGCTTATTTGATTCCTGCATTAATGAAACAGCTATCGCGGTAGAGGGTGTCGATGTGCTACTATCGTTTGTTAACACAGAACTAGGCGGATGGCCCATCTTACAAGGTCCAAAGTGGGACAATACAACATTTAACTTCTCAAGATTACTGCTCAAATTAGCCGAGTATAGTAGCTACATAATTTACATCACAGATACACAGATTAACGATATGAATTCGTCAATCCAAGCCATTCGAGTGAGATTTGTTATAGACTTGAATAAATAATGAATATTGATAATTCAGATCGGTCAAAGCAATCTTGGCCTGTTAGATCGTAGCTACTATGTTAATGAAAGTGACGTCACGAAAGCCTATCGACAATTCATACAGAGCTTCGCTTTGGCATTAGCAACTGATGAATCAATGATCAACACTGATGTTACTGCTATATTCAATTTTGAAAAAAGGATCGCCATAGTAAATCTCTCTTTCTTTTCACATACCCATTGTCTTACTGCTTCCACTCATCACGCAGTATCATTGGACACCGAATGAACAGATGGCTCGGGATACCGAGACTATCTACTCGACCATCGGCAATCTCTCGTCTGCAATCAACACTACGGTGAGTACTGTTCTCGATTTTTCTATCTTTAGATTTGTATTCAGTTTGACTTCGTTGGTCATCTTCGTCGTCTCTATCTTTTGGCAAACGTGACTCTTGTCGATACAGATTTTGTAATTGTCAGCGAACTTGACTATCTACGCAATGTTTCATTAATTATCGATCAAGTATCACCACGAGTTTTACAAAACTATATGGTATGGCGGTTTATGATGAATCGAGCATGGATTATATCACGAAGATTTCGAGCCATCAAACAGCAGTTCGATCAAGTATTTCTAGGTACTGCTGTTGAACCATCACGAGCAACGGAGTGTGCTAATTATGTCAATGAGAATATGGGTTTTGCTGTCTCGAAACTTTATATAAATAAATATTTTGACAAGGGCGCTCGTCTAGAGGTATTCAGAACTCAATTTGGTGGTAAATTTCTTTCTGTTTTATTTTTTGACAGTCAATTGCAATGATTGAAAATATTCGACATCAATTTATTGATATCATCAATCAATCGACATGGATGGACTCCGTCTCGAAACGTAAAGCAATTGAAAAAGTAAGTGAAATATAAATCAATCTAAACCTTGAGAAGACAAATATCATCGTACAGGCCCGAGCTATGAACTCAAAAGTTGGCTATCCAGAATATTTAGATGACAACCATACTACGAAGTTGGAGAAACATTATGCGGAGGTAGGAAATAATCAACAACAATTCTTTTAATTCATGATTCACCCATTCTTTTTTTATTATTGTTCCAAAATCTAGTATAATTTTAATTCATCTTTTATGCAAAACGTTTTGCTTGTACTAAAACTAAAAACTAAAAAGAAGCTTCAAGCACTTCGTGAGCCTGTTGATCGACAAGAATGGATTGGTTATTCACCCACTATCGTCAATGCCTTTTATAATCCATCGTTTAATGACATCTGTAAGAAAAAAACTCTAGCGAGAGTAACACGTCATATCTGAAACTGCTTTTAGCTTTTCCAGCTGGCATTCTTCAAACGCCTTTCTTCCACAAAGATGCACCGAAGTAGGATTGAATTGATTACCTCATTCGAAAACTTCCATTTCTATTTGAGATATCTCAACTATGGCGGTGAGAAACGATTCAGTGTGACGAATAGAACAGAAAATGATTTCAAATTTAGCTATTGGAACGATCATTGGACATGAAATTACTCATGGCTTCGATAACTTCGGTGGACTGTATGATAAGGACGGAAATAAGATTCTGTGGTGGAATAATGAAACATTTGCCGCGTTTAACCAACGGAAGACCTGTATTATTGATCAGTACAGCAACTATACGGTGACTCAAATTAATCTGCCGGTCTCCTGTTCTATTTGAGTTTGTTGAAAATAAACATTTGTCTTTATCATTCAGGTTAATGGTGAACTAACTCAAGGCGAGAATATTGCTGACAACGGTGGACTGAAAGCAGCCTTCTTTGTAAGTTCTGCGAATCTTTTATTCGAGTCTAACATGGATACTTTTAGGCTTATCAAAAATGGACTCAAATCCACCTAAATGTTGACAAGAAGCTTCCAGGCCTAGAAAGATACTCAATTGAGCAAATGTTCTTTCTCAGTTATGGTCAAATATGGTGTTCGAAGATGACAGATCAATATGCCAAGAAGCAAGTTTTGATTGATGAACACTCACCCGCTCAGTTTAGGTGAAAGCTTTATTCTACCGTTTCTTCAGATGATTTTATAATTCATTTCTCTTTTTAGAATACTTGGTTCTACCTCGAATTTTGCCGAGTTCGATAGAGTATTTGGCTGTCATCCATCTCAGAGCAACAGTCGAGTGAATAAATGTATCGTGTGGTAGGATTTGTCTGTATGGCTCTTTTGATTCTACCACTATTTATACAAAGAAAGATACTGACAGCTATACTCGCGAAGAAAATCTAGTTTCTTAGAGATTGATATGTTCCTTTTTCTTTTCTATTTCGTTCGATTTTCATTTGCCTTATTATATCTTTTTCATTGAGCTTAACATGAAAAACTCGAAATAGGCGAAGGTCGAATAAAAAAGAGCTAAAATCCTTTAGCATAGATCTCAACGAAATGATTCTGTCCATGTGTCGATCTCTTAAAGGAACTGAAACAACGACAATTAGTACTGACTAATTTCTAGGAATTACAACACTCACATAAGAGGGTGTGGGTGTGGGTGTGGATGTGTGGGTATGGGTGTGGAGAGGGGGTGTGTGGGTGGGTGTGGAGGTTAGTTGAGAGAAGATGGATATTCACACCCACACCCACACCCTCAAAATAATTAAAAACACCTAAATCTATGAGATGCATGTTTACGCAGTTAATTAATGAACTGATATTTTTTTAATTTGGACTGAATATTATCATACAAAATCTAATATAATTTCTTACTAAATCGTTGAATAAAAAACTTAATTCAATTCAAACATTTATATAATAATCATATCTGATCTATGCTCACGAATTTCTCGTAACATCAATCTTGTTGTAAACAACTTTTTCATTTCTAAGTAAAACGTGGGCTTCATTCCTTATTGACTAATGAGACTGATTCATTTTAACTCTTCATCTTGTCAAAAAACAATCATTCTTTAATTGACAGAAAAACGAATGTTTTCTTTTAAGTTTTATCATTTATTTTACACAAACTATAATCAAAAAATATATTTCAAAATAGATGCTGAATTTAAAAAAAGCGAAACCAAAAACAAAATACTACTATGATTTTTTACCATTATCAGTTGAAAAATTACTCATTTCACAGAGATATTTGTAGAGGTGACTATGTCCATATATATATTCATACAATTAAATGGACGTATTTGGTCAATTCAATTTATTAAATTTCGAAAATCAATTTAAGAAAACCTATTTCACTTTCGGTTAGTGCCTCAAGATCCGTAGAATTAAAATCATTAAAACGAAGTGATAAATAAAACGCACGAAAATTTTAAATTCTAAACTACAACTCACTCAAATATTCGATTTCTCAAATCAAACTCATTCAATATGTGGAAAAACGACCAATAGATATCTATAAATACATAAAATGACATTTGAACTATGTAAAAAAAATTTTATTACATCTTAAACGTATTTCAACTCAAATAAAACCATCGCAAGATCATTATCCACATTACAGTATATCAATTTGTGCAATATTAAAAAATAAATAGTACGAAACTACTAAACATATAACTGACCATTAACTCATTTTATCAATTCATATATTCTATTACAATCTCATCGACTTAATACATTGAAAAATACAATAACATATAACAGACTACAAATCAAATTTCTGACTTTTTTAACACTCAAATTTCATTACATTCATATAGTAAAAATAGCCGACAAATATAGAATAGAAATCATTTAAATTTTCATTTTATTTTAGAATTTTATGTTAAAAAGGTATATTCGAATGTATAAGACTAATTGACTTTATTAAATAATCAATAATAACGAGGAAAAAATAAATAATCTAGACATCATTCATCTGGAAAATTGATACCGGAATAATAAAGCAGTTTGTCATTTAACAGTAGAAATCATATGTTTATA